CACTCCAGCCTGGGTGACAGAGTGAGACTCTGTCTCAAAAAAAAAAAAAAAAAAAAAAAAGAATTGTTGCCCTTGAGGGGTTTTCGGATCCAGCTCCACCAGAAGCAGGCTCTTAGCATTAGTGTGAAAGTGACATTTTAGGGGAGTGGGGAAGAAGGCCTGGGAGGAAAAGAGATTAAACACGGGTGGGATATTCATGTCCCTCAGGTGGTATATTTGGCTCAATCCTGCAGAAAGGCAGTGGAGACAGGGAAGGTCAAAGACAGGAGGCTGGGGAGCTGGGGTCTTCCTATTCCCCCGCAAACAGCAGGCAGTGGCAGTTTGGCTGGGAATATACATTCCAAGGCATTTTGAGTCCTCCCTGGCTCAAAGAAGAGACACAAGTGTTCACTTTGGAAAGGGAAAGAAGCCTCAATGTAGAATGCATAAAAATGGTAACGGGATCTGGGGAACATGGGTTGAGGAACACTGACAGAATCTGTTACAGAGAGAGATAGGTGTGGGTGGAATATTGGGTGAAAAATCATCATTATACCTACAATCCCATTATCCTACACAGTGAGTCAGTTTCTAGACTTGAGTGCTTGAAAGCCGGGATTTTTCATCATTACCCAACTCTTCAAGTTAGGTATTATTAGCTCTCTGCCTCCTCCTTATATTTAACCAGAGACTAACGTATTCCAGAAAGGGAAGGGAACATTTACAGAGTCGGGAGGTGGGAGACTCAGTACTAGAACCCAAGTGTGCGTTGTTGCAAACTCTCCACTCCTTTTGCTGTTCGCTGATGGTCAGCTCAGAAAGAGCCTTATTTCAGGGAGAGAGATAGATAATTAGACATGATAGACAGATGACAGGTAAGTAGGTAGGTAGATAACTAGATATGATACATTAGATAGATATTAGATAGACAGTAGGTAGGTAGATAGCTAGATATGATAGATTAGATAAATAGATGAGAGGCAAGTAGGTGGATAAGTAGATACCATAGATTAGATAGATGATAGGTAGATACATAACTAGGTATGATAGATTAGATAGGTAATAGGCAAGTAGGTAGATAGCTAACTAGATATGATAGATAGATTGGATAGATAGATGATCGGTAAGTAGGTAGATAGATACAGATGATAGATTAAATAGATGATAGATAACTAGACATAGATAAGATAGATGATCAATTAGATAATTAGATACAATTGATAGATACATTAGATAGATGATAGATTAGGTAGCTAGATGATAGGTAAGTAGGTGGATAGAGATAGGTATGATAGGTAAGTAGGTGAATATTCAGATACATCCAGATGATAGATGATAGATAATAGATATTGATAGATACATTAGACAGATGATAGATTGATAGGTAGTAGGTAGATATGCAATAATTAGAATAAATTAGATGACAGGTAATTAGGTAGATAGACAGATAGATACCTAGATGGGTGACAGATTAGCAAGACAGGAAAATTAGGCAGATAGACAGATAGATAGATAATTAGATGTGATAAGATAGATTGGGTAGATGATAGGTAAGCAGGTAGAGAGACAGATAAAGATAGCTAGGTAGACAGATAATAGACACCTAGACAGATGACGGACAGATGAGTGAGACAAATTAGGTAGGTAATTCTCCCTGCATAGGTATGTAGAAATGCTGACACAAGCACAGTGAGAGAACCAAGGAGGGGAAGGGTCTGGATGGGAAACTCTGCTAGTGCAGAGGACCAGGCGTGTGAAGCATCTCAGATGCAGCTCTGCAATGTGGCCACAGATCATCGCACATCCAGGAAGCATTCTCAGCCCCGAGGCACACTAAGAAAGACAGCGAGGGTCTTGCTGAGGCTTCACTTCTAAAGTTGCTCATCTTTTTGTGTTCAATCATGTTTCTGCTACTTACTCCTTATGATGTGTGTTTCCTGAATCTCAAGTGCCAAGAAAAACAAACAAACAAAAAACACCAGCGGAATTGCATGGACTCTGTCACCCAGCCTGAGTAACAGGCTGCTCGCTCTCCCTCAACACTGTGGGCTTTGGATGGAATCCTTGTCGTCATCCCGGGAGTTACACGGGAACGCATGCCCTTCGCCAGTGGGATGGGAATAATGGCGCTACCTTGCAGGGTTGTTGTAAGAATTTTTTTTTTTTTTAGACGGAGTTTCGCTCTTGTTACCCTGGCTGGAGTGCAATGGCACGATCTCGGCTCACTGCAACCTCCGCCTCCCGGGTTCAGGCAATTCTCCTGCCTCAGCCTCCCGAGTCGCTGGGACTACAGGCACGCGCCACCATGCCCAGCCAATTTTTTGTATTTTTAGTAGAGACAGGGTTTCACCATGTTGACCAGGATGGTCTCGATCTCTTGACCTCGTGATCCACCCGCCTCGGCCTCCCAAAGTGCTGGGATTACAGGCTTGAGCCACCGCGCCCGGCCCTGTTGTAAGAATTTAACACGCTACAATGTAGACTTACATGGCAGTATTGCTCAAGGACTCATTTGTTCGTTTTTTGAGACAAAGTCTTGCTCTGTCATCTAGGCTGGAGTGCAGTGGCTCAATCTTGGCTCATGGCAACTTCCGCCTCCCGGGTTCAAGTGATTCTCCTGCCCCAGCCTCCTGAGTAGCTGGGATTATAGGTGTATGCTACCACGCCTGGCTAATTTTTGTACTTTTAGTAGAGATGAGGTTTCACCATATTGGCCAGGCTGGTCTCAAACTCCTGACCTCAGGTGATCCACCTACTGAGAGGGATGATTTTTAGTCATTCTTTTTTTTTTTTTTTTTTTTTGAGACAGAGTCAAGCTCTGTCGCCTAGGCTGGAGTCCACTGGTGCAATCTCAGCTCACTGCAACCTCCACCTCCTGGGTTCAAGCCATTCTCCTGCCTCAGCCTCCCAAATATCTGGGATTACAGGTGCCCGCCACCACACTTAGCTAATTTTTGTATTTTTAGTAGAGATGGGGTTTCACTTTGTTGGTCAAGCTGGTCTCAAACTCCTGACCTCATGATCTGCCTGCCTTGGCCTCCCAAAGTGCTGGGATTACAAGTGTGAGCCACCGTGCCTGGCCTAGATTTGGTCATTCTTATTTATTTAGAACTGGAGTCTCCCTCAGTTGAGTGCATGATGCAGTGGCATGACCTTGGCTCACTGCAACCTCTGCCTCCCGGGTTCAAGGGATTCTCCTGCCTTGGCCTCCTAAGTAGCTGGGATTACAGGCGAGCCAGCACGCCCAGCCGATTTTTAGTATTTCTAGGAGAGACAGGTTTTCACCATGTTGGCCAGGCTGGTCTCAAATTCCAGACCTCAAGTGATCCATCCACCTTGGCCTCCCAAAGAGCTGTGATTACAGGCCTGAGCCACCACACCTGGCCATTCGTCTTTCTTTTCTACCCTGGTCTAACCCTGTTCTTGTTAGGAATCCTCCCTGACTTCTCCCAGCTGATCGTTCCGGTGTCCGAGGGAATCATGTGTTCTTCAGAGAACCTCACCCTTCCCCACGGCTTCCGTGCCCATGTCACTGCTGTTCATTACCTGGCGTCAACAAGCTCACTGAAGTGTGTTTGAAGTTGGCTGGGCACGGTGGTCTGTACTCTCAGCTACCCTGGAGGCTGAGTGAGGAGGACGGCTTAAGCCCAGGAATTTGGGTATGGCTGCGTCACTGCACTCCAGCCTGGACAACAGAGTGAGACTCTGTCTCTTTTTAAAAAAGGAAAGGAAAAGAAAAAGAAAGAAATGTATTTGAAGAGCTGAGATCATGTCTGTTAGCCAGGGTTTTCCAGAAAAACAGAACCAATAGAACATATACATGCATATACATAGAGAGAGATTTGTTTTAATGAATTAGTTCACGTGATTGTGGGAGGCTGGCAAGTCTGAAATCTGCAGGCAGGCAGGCAGGCAGGACGGACATCCGGGGGAGGCTTGACCTTGTGGCTTAGTCTGGAGGCAGAATTCCTCCCACCTTGGAGGACCTCGGTCTTTTCTCTTAAAGCCTTCAACTGATTGGATGAGGCCCACTCACATGACAATGGGTCATCTGCTTTACTCAAAGTCTATTGGTCGAAATGTTCATTACAGACAGGTGCGGTGGCTCACCTATAATCCCAGAATTTCGGGAGGCCAAGGCAGGTAGCTCACTTGAAGTCACAAGTTTGAGACCAGCCTGCCCAACATAGTGAAACCCCATCTCCACTAAAAATACAAAAATTAGCTGGGCATGGTGGTGCACGCCTGTAATTCCAGCTACTGGGGAGGCTGAGTCAGCAGAATTGTTTGAACCTGGGAGACGGAGGTTGCAGTGAGCCGAGATTGCACCACTGCACATGCCATCCTGGGTGACAGAGCGAGACTCCGTGTAAAAAAAAATTATGTATATATATGTTATATACACACACATATATAATATATATATATGAAGCATCTGGCACAGAGCTGGCTCACAATAAATGATCAATATCATGGCTATGCACCAAACATTCCCTTGGAATTTTCTATGCACCAAACACTGTTCCTTTTTTTTTTTTTTTTTTCTGGCGTCTCACTCTGTCGCTCAGGCTGGAGTGCAATGGCATGGTCTCAGCTCACTGCTACCTGTGCCTCCCAGGTCTGAATAATTCTCCTGCCTTGACCTCCTGAGTAGCTGGGACTACAGGCACATGCCACCACACCTGGCTAATTTTTGTATTTTTAGTAGAGACAGGTTTCACTGTGCTGGCCAGGCTGGTCTCAAACTCCTGACCTCGTGATCCACCCACCTTGGCCTCCCACAGTGCTGGGATTACAGGTGTGAGCCACTGCACCCAGCCTGTTCCAGCCTTTTCTATAGGTCCTGACCCATCATCCAATAAAGTAGCTACTGCTGCTATCCTCACTTTACAGATGGGGAAACAGAAGCTTGGAGAAGATTAAGGAAATTCCCCAAAGCAATAGGAAGTTCCAGCTCCGAGGTGGGAGATCCAGGCTTGGAAGCCAGGCTGTCTGGCTAGCTTTTCTGCTCACCCCCTCAGTGCATTTCAGGAGCCAGGCTGCTTCCCTGACCTGCTCTTCCTCTCTAGACACCAGAAGCATCTTTGTCAGCATCTTCAGCTGCATCTCCATCCTTCTCCTCTTCGTCTTAGTCATCGTCATCTACAGATGCAGCCAGAATGGTGAGCTCAGAGAACGCAAAGGGAGAGAGGGAGCGTGAAGCATTTTCTCAGTAGGTAAATTCCTCCTGCATTTTTGTAGGTTCATCACCTGAAGAATCCACCAAGAGGTATATGCTTGGCATAGCTTATGCTCCACCCAATTCCCATGTCATTCTCCAGGGAACCCACTGGCACATCCAGGATTGCACCCTAAGCCCCTACTCCCGCCCATTCTGTGACCTCCTCTCCCCTCTATAGCCCTCACCCTCTTCCCCCAATCTTCACATCCCATCCTTTCATGTGTTTCTCTTAGAACCAGTCATTCCAAACTTCCAGAGCAAGAGGCTGCTGGTAAGGGATAGGGGAAGTGAAGGGAATAACCAGACAAAAAGCCTAAGTTCTGGCTGGGTGCGGTGGCTCACGTCTGTAACCCCAGTACTTTGGGAGGCTGAGGTGGGCGGATCACCTGAGGTTGGGAGTTCAAGACCAGCCTGGCCAACATGGAGAAACCCCATCTCTAATGAAAATACAAAATTAGCTGGGCATGGTGGCGCATGCTTGTAATCCCAGCTACTCGGGAGGCTGAGGCAGGAGAATCACTTGAACGCAGAAGGCAGAGGCTGTGGTGAGCCAAGATCGTGCCTTTGCACTACAGCCTGGGCAATAAGAGTGAAACTCTGTCTCAAAAAAAAAAAAAGAAAGACTAAGTTCTGACATCTGCAGCTGAGAAGAACTGATCTTTTTCTCTCTCTCACTCAGATACAGATTTATTCAAGATGGAAAGGGTATATCTCTCGGTGAGTCCTCCAGCTTGGGAGTCCTTCACCATGACAGGAGTTCGAGACCAGCCTGACCAATGTGGTGAAACCCTGTCTCTACCTATAAGTCCCTCCCTTACCACGCCGGGCTGGTAGTGTCTGTCTGCTGGTTAAGCCCACACAGAAATGTCCACTGTTTATCACCTGTGTGATCTTAGACGAGTCACAAAGCCCCCATAATGGGAACCAAAATCTCCATTTAAAAGGCTTATGCGGATCCACTGATGTCACAAACATAAAGGGTTTAAAAACAGCAAAGAGGCTGGGCATGCGGTGGCTCATGCTTGTAATCCCAGCACTTTGGGAGGCCAAGGCAGGCGGATCACCAGATGTCAGGTGTTCAAGACCAGCCTGGCCAACATGGTGAAACCTCGTCTCTACTAAAAATACAATAATTAGCCGGGAGAGGTGACGGGTGCCTGTGTAATCCAAGCTACTAGGGAGGTTGAGGCAGGAGAATCGCTTGAACCCAGGAGGCGGAGGTTGCAGTGAGCCGAGATCACACCATTGCACTCCAGCCTGGGTGACAGAGCTAGGCTCCATCTCAAAAATAAATAAAATAAATAAAAAAAAAACAGAAAAGAAAAGGAAATGCATATGGTGTGACTGAGGACCTGGATTTTAAATTTAACTGTAATCAATTTAAATGTCAATAGCCATGGGTGGCTAGAGGCTGCCATATGACCACTCAGTGCTAAATGCCTGTGTTCATTTGTTTTCCCCAAAGACCACAGACCCCCAAGGAGTGACCTATGCTGAGCTAAGCACCAACGCCCTGTCTGAGGCAGCTGCTGACACCACCCTGGAGCCCCCAGGATCACATGAATATGTGGTACTGAAAGTATAGCAAGAAGACAGCACAGGCCACCAAAGGAGCGGGGACTGTGCCGGCTGAGGTATCGAAAACGTGGAGATGTGGATGACTGTGTGTCCCTTGCTTCTCGTCCATATCAATAAAATTAAGTTTCTCATCTTAAAAAGAAATCTGGCTTATTTATGGATTATTCATACCCCAGAACCCCACCATACTCTTTCTACCCCACATTTCCTCCTAGAACAATTCAAGGCAATAATAATTATCGATTGGCTATCCAGCAAAGAATGTAAGAATTATTGAACATCTCCAGGAAGCACAATAAACAAAAGAGAAAATGGCCAGAAGGCCAGGCTTGGTGGCTCTCGCCTGTAATCCCAGCACTTCAGGGGGCTGAGGCAGGTGGATCATCTGAGGTCAGAGTTCAAGACCAGCCTGGCCAACATGGTGAAATCCCATCTCTACTAAAAATACAAAATTAGCTGGGTGTGGTGGTGGGTGCCTGCAATCCCAGCTACTCGGGAGGGTGAGGCAGGAGAATCGCTTGAACCCAGGAGG